CTTGATTCAAAAAAATGGTGACTTGTTCTTTCATCATGGGTGGCCAGCATTTGTGAGAGATCATTTTGTAGAATGTGGTGACTTCTTGATTTTCAGATATGATGGTGAGTTGTGTTTCACTGTGCTTATTTTTGATCAAAGTGCGTGTGAGAAAGAAGCCGCATTTCATTCTGAACGTGGCCAAGACTCTAGCAACTTTGAAAAATATATGGGACGAAAAAGGGCCAGGGAGGAGGCTGCATCATCTGGCAAACTGGTTGATGGTGTGGCAAAGAAAATGAGAGATTCCAGCAGTGAGGAAGGATGCGGACATGAGGGTGTAATGGGTGAAGAAGCAACTTGTTCCAAGGAAATTAAGCAAGCTGAAAAGCCTGGTGAGGAAACCACCTGATCTATTGGCTCTTTCCAGTGTTCCCACTGAAAGGCAACTTCTAGTCACCAGAAAAAAATAATCCATGAAATACTGAGTTTATCTATGTCTGTGCAAACAAAATTGAATGCATACAGATGCAATTAGTGATTTATTCTTTCTTGCAGGTTTGGATATTGTTCTTTGTAAAGCTAATGCATCCATCCAAAATATGTGCGGAAAAGGAGATGGATTAAATGTGAATGGTAGAGTTTGTGTGCAGATGTCGTCGGCGCATGAAATAGCTCAATCATTTAGCTCCTCTAACCCGTATTTTGTGAGAATCATGAAAAGTTTCAACATCAGTGGTTCATATACTCTGGTGGGTTCTTCCCTCTGGTTTTGTTGTTTTTTCTTTTTGTACTGTAATGCTTATTTATTTATGTTAGGCGTAGGTTTTGCATCAGTGAACTTTGTTGAGAAGCCAGTGTATTGATACTCAGTGTTAAATAAGTAGTATTCTCTTGCTTGAGTTATCTGCATATGCATCCAGAAAAGTGATCTACTGTTTCCATCATGGTTTGGCCACAATTCAAAACCATGTATCATCTTGTTTTTAATCACAAATAAAATTATAAGTAGAAAAACAGATTGTTTTGTGGGTTGCTATCATCTTCAATGTTGCTGCTTCCCTGTGGAATTACTTAGAGGGTTTCCTCGTAAATCTTAAACCATAAAGCTCCAGATATGTGACTATGATTCCTCATTTCTTTGTTCATATTTGGAGTTTGGACAATGTTCACAGTACTCAACTTTTTCTCCTTCACACAGAAGTGTATATGGTATTTTTGGGATAGATGTTTCATAGTGTTAAAGGTGTTCTTCTCATTTTCTTGACATGAACTTACTGTCCCGAACTTGTTGCTCTCTTCCACAATTTCACCAGTTAAATTAGTAAAACATACACATATACATATATGCTCATAGATATGAAAGTGTGTGTGTGTTCATGAATGTGATTGTTGGCCTGGGCACGTGCAAATTTTCTTTTACAAACTGCTTTATGGTTTGCAGAACATCCCATGTAAATTTTCGGTGGCACATCTACCCAACTGCAAAGTAAAGCTTGCCCTTCATAATTGGAAAGGAGAAAGTTGGACCGTCAATTCTGTGCCAAGTACGAGAGTGCATACAAGTCATACTCTCTGTGGAGGATGGATGGCTTTTGTCCGTTACAATGACATAAAGCTTGGAGATATCTGCATTTTTGAACTTGTGCGTGAGTGTGAATTCCGTGTCCACGTTCAAAGTGGAGAAACATCTAGTTGGTTAAGTGCTGAGCTGGCTCTCCCTTCAATTAAAACGTTCAAAAGTTTGTCAAAGATAATGACGGGGAACTCTCCTAAAGTCCATTCAAAGAGCATAAGAAAGATAGAGAAAGCTGATAAAATAGCACCAAAGAAGTTTCAAGAGGCTGCTTTCACTAATGACGCAAGGAAATATGGTAGCACATCAAAGTCTCTTACTAAAGTTTCGCTCCCTCAGTCAAAAGCTGCCAATAAAAAGTTGGGTAAGGTTTCACCTAAATCGTCTTAGCAATTTCTTGCAAAGACGGGGTCATGAGTGCTATCCATGTTGAAATGAGCTTGAAGGTCATCTAGATTTGCATGCTATACTTTTATCTATAAATTCAGGCTCTTGTATTTAGATTTTCCATACATTTAAGAAACTCATGATGATTATATTATTTAAATTGGGTTTTTACCCATAAAATGGACAGTCAATCACAGGAAAAAAGTTGTTGAAGATGAACTAAACCCTGGAAGTAGTTTGAGAATGAGGTTAACACTTGATGAAGAAAGAGCGGCTCGATCGTTCACTTCTTGTTTCCCGAGTTTTGTGAAAATCATGAAGAAGTTCAACATCTGTGGTTCATATACATTGGTGAGTCTTGTAGATATGTGTTACTGTGAACAAACATGTTCCTATTAATCTTCTGAAGATTGTTTCTGGCACTGGTTTGTATTTATAACTTGGTTATTGTTGTGCAGAAAATCCCATACCAGTTTTCCACAGAACACCTCCCCAACTATAAAACAGAGATTGTTCTTCGAAATTCAAAAGGGGAATGTTGGACTGTGAATTCTGTCCCAGACTCGAAAGGGCGAGTGGTGCATACATTTTGTGGAGGATGGATGGCATTTGTACGCGGAAATGATGTCAACATTGGAGATATTTGCATTTTTGAGCTTGTTGGTAAGCGTGAAATGCAAGTGCACATTTCTGGTGTTGGTAAAAAGGGGTTTGACCATCAAGATGGAGAAGCAACATCTAATGCAGTGTAGCTGTTGTGTAATCTACCGGCAATGTACCTTCTCTGTGACACTTGATCTAGCTCAACTATCCCTCTAAATACATGTTTTGTGCTGAGCTATGCCAAATTGCATTTTGCGATTCTCTAATCTTATCCTGCATATAATGTTGACTGCTAACTAGACTCTCTTTATGTTGGTGTTGTCATCTACAAGTGCATTTGTCGCATCTAGTATTTGCATCTGTTGCTTACAAAATCTCCTTAAGTGGTGGGCTTCCTTTTTTATATGTTAGAGCACTCCCACCCGAGCAGGCCAGCACGGGCAGAATGCCCCTAAGCCCCCAAAAACGAAGTCCAATGGTGAAGGCTAGCCCGGGCAAGGAGTGGGCTCCATTAGGCTGGGCAAGCCCAAGGCAAGACTTGCCTAGGTTATTGCCTGGGTTTGCTGATGTTAGCATGACATCAAGTAAATGTCTTTGTCATTTTACTTTAATTTATTTTTATATTACTACATAATTTACAATGTAAATAAGGAAGTACCCTCTATTTGGATTCAAATAAAAATACTAGAAAATCAAATTCCCACCAAATCAAAATATGAAAAATCTGTTTTAGTGCAAAATATGATTTAGGCTAAAAATGATGGCTCATTAAGTCAATATATATTTTATACTAAAATTCCATAAAATCAAGTTTTCTTATTTGATGCGTGAGGAATAAAAGCCGCCAAAAATTATCTTGAGAAAATGATTATTCCGAAAAATCATTTTTTATACTTAGTCAATATTTTTACATAAAATAATTTTTCATGTATGATATGAATGCATGAAGAGACCTAATGTCAATTTAGGTAAAAAGCCTTAGATGTTCAATCCACTATGATGTTAAAACTTATTAAAAATTAGTCTATGGAGCTATGAACTAGCGTGATTTATATGATTTAATGTTTACTTTTATTTCTAGAAAGACTGTAGAAATTGTAAGTACCAAAAAAAATTATCATTAAATTTTAAGCTAATAATAACTTTAGCTAGCTCACCCGTTGAAAAATTTCTAGTTCCGCTCTTGCTAAATACCAAATTTTTTATTAAAAAAATACCAAAAAATTCAGATTTTTTAATTATAAATACCTAGCCATGTTTTTCACTTCCCACACCAATACTCCATACAAATTTCTCTCATCATATCTCATGGGAAAGTGTTTGCCTTTACTTGCCATGGCAATGAGTGGAAATGCAAAATAAAAAAAGATAGAGCAGTCACTATTTATCTGAATAGTGTTTGTTCTTATTTGCCCTTGCCCATGGGTAGAAGTGCTCTTAGTATTTTTAACTCTCTTTGTTTTTTGTTTTGCTGCATTAAATATAAAAGTTTGCGCATATTTGCTGGGTCCTCCGAATTTTGGACCGATAATGGGATTTTGCTCTTTTCTCTATGGCCGATTTATCTCAATGCAATTGACATGCAGAATAGTGTGATTTTTTCTTTTTACTTTAGATAACAGTGGATATTAGTTGTATTGTTTGTTGATTAAAACGAGGATCAGTGGTCCTGATTAGTCCTTAATTACTTTTAAGCAGAATCGACTTCTTAAAAAGTTTACAACAAATGGTTTCTTCTTTTAATGGAAGTTGTGGTAATTGGACTGGCGCTGGTGATAACTGGTTGGATCAAATTTCTCAAACCCTACGTGCATCATATAAAACCCTTAAGCCCACTTCATATTTTGTTTTGCTTCGTCTCCGATTGTCCAACTCCATTGGATATGGAGAAGAAGAAAAACCTCCATATTTATATATTCTTATTATTGTAAAATATAAATAAAAGGGCAGCTAAGAAAACGACCCAGTAGAACCATATTTCAGGAAGATAGTTAAAAGTTGACGTAGCCAGCTTGAGTTGCAGGGGACTGGAAGGTACTGATACAGTAAGTTGTCAAGTCCTTTGGTCTGAGCATGTAAGTGTTACGTGAGAGCCAAGAGACGCCCAGAGGATAAAGGTGCATTTTTGCTCACCACTTTAATCAAATGTGTACTCTTATCATCCTCCTCAACATTTGACACGTGTTCCTTGGCATAATTATGGTTGCATAAATATAAAGTAAAAGTTTAACTATGGTTATGACAAGGGACACGTGTCAAGTGTTGAAGATGGTGGTGTGGGTACACCTTTAGTTAAAGTGGTAAGCAAAAATATCCCCTGGTAAAACAAAACCACGTTATGATAATGGCCAAAAACTGATGGATTTTCCGTGTCTCGTCCTTCCGGTTAAGTCATTTGTTATCTCGTTTCAACTCAATTGTCATGTGACATTTCTTGACTCCATTATTTAAAGTCCATGCTCTTTATCATTCTCAAATTGACTCCCTACTCTGTTGTCTTAGGTGCCTCTATTATTCAATACTGTGAACAACTTGCATTCCCTGTGTTTAACAACAACTTAGTCGTTAATGAGGCCGGGGAAGATCTGAAGGCTGAACTTTTGAATTGTCGGTGTATCTTACCTCCACAGAGTGCCTTCTACATGGTATGCGTGTGCCGACTTACTGACTATTTTTCTTTTTAAATACAGAGATAAACAACGCATACCTTATTAAGTTTCTTGTGTAGGTAGTATAGTAATATCCTAATCTAGATTCTCCAAGGAGTTTCTTGTGTTTAAAATTCAACCCAGCCCTGGTTGCCCATTTGGCTTTCTTTTGAACTCTAAGAATCATCTATCTCAAAGGCAACTCATAATACATATCAGATTTCGAATGGATAAGAAGCTAAAGTCTCCACTAGAAAGGCCATCCTTTAGAATGTTCCTCGTTGGTGATGACTTCTCTCAGCATCTGGTAACATCTTCACCTCCTTTCTGGTTTCCTGTTGTGTACGCCCTTGTGTTAATTTCATAGCTTGAAAGTGTACAAGCTTTTCATTTATTCTTTCGTTTTGGCTTTTTCTAAAAGATATACACTTTTGCAGCCTATACCACCTGCATTTATCAAGAACTTCAATGGACGAAGACTTGGAAAATGTACTCTCAGAGGCCCTAGTGGAAAATGTTGGGCTGTGGAACTGGAACAGAGATGGGATGGCTTGTTCTTCCATAAGGGTTGGCCTGGTTTTGTGAAGGATCATTTTATAGAACTTGAGGACTTTCTGATTTTCTATTATGATGGTGGCTCAGAGTTTAATGTCACCATCTATGATAAAACTTGTTGCGAGAAGGATGTAAAAGCAGCAGCCAAGAGGCCTGCAAGTGATCATTTGGCAGAAACATCAACGGGGGGGGCCATCTTGTTCAAATCGGAGAATGCGTTTTTTATACAAACTTTGAAGTCCTATAATCTATATGCCATGGTAAGTATTTGATCACCCAAAAACAAATGAAAACCTTTTCTTTCCCTTTTCTGATTAAACATCTGATCAGTAGTACATGTTTTTCTTTTCAGTTGATTCCGAAGGATATAGCCATAGCTGAAGGACTTATGAGCTCTCAAGGCATTTTGATCAAAGAGACTATAATGCTTCAAGATCAAACGGGGAGATCATGCCTTACTCACCTTTATCTCAAGCCAGATGGTCGTTTGATGATGACAGAAGGATGGACAACATGTCGGAAGGCAAACCAGATTTCACTTGGGGACGACATTGTTTTTGAGTTTGTGAAGCAAGGTGTGATACTAGTTCATATTTTGAGAGGCAAAGGCAATAATAGCTCTTCTGTGGTTCTTTCAGGCTCGCAGCTCCGGAAGTCAAAAACCTAAAGCCAGTTAGTTGACTCGACTGCAATTTTTCAATGCGAACATCTACAACTTGCCACTCATCTAGCTGTTCTGTTAAGTTTGGTTGTATTTGTGATTTCAAGTTCATAATATTATAAATCCAGAACTGTCAAACGGAGATATTGTCAAGGGAACCGAAAACAAACGAGTTTCGTGAAATCTGAGCACGATGGAGAGTATTTATCATGTAACTAATTCGAGGGGCGCTGCTAATGGTAAATCATTCAACAATTAGCAATCTGTGGGATCATATTTCAATTTGCAAATACAAAAAACAAGGTCATACTATACTAGTCTTAAGAACATGATTAGATAAACAAAATTCGCGTTTAGATGTCAGTGTTGCAAAATTCACAAAAAAGTTGAACCTACTTATCTCCCATAGAAACTGATTCGATGTTTTACTGAATACTCTCTCAGTTTGCAATGTAAGCAAGGGTCCGCTGATCAAAATTAGATATAAAAAATAATCGCTACGTATCAATGATCTAAAAAAATGAAAGCATACGAAGGAAAGGAAAATAATCTTTGCTGACTTGATAACTAAACCAAACTCTCTTTATGTTTGTGTTGTCATTTACAAGTACATTTGTCAAATCTAGTATTTGCGTAAGTGTTACTGGAGAGCCAAGATTTGTCCCGTTTCCTTTGGTCTGAGCATGTTAGTGTCAAGGGAGAGCCAAGAGAGACCCAATGGATAAAACAAAAACACCTTATGTAATGGCAAAAAACTGATGAATTTTCTGTGTCGTCCTATCGGTCAAGTCAATTGTAATGTCGTATCAACTCAATTGTCATGTCTTGAGACTCCAAACACGCTGGTCAAGAGGCTATGGTTTCTTCAAATTCTAGAAAGCGAAAGCGGAAGGAGAAGAAACCTCAGCCGCTCAACCACAGTCACTGCCCTTAGTACGATTGCAAGTTTGAAACTTCAACGTTTTTGGGATTTTCCAAACGGAGCCTCAGTGTTCGTTTTGATGTTGATTATTGCAGGAAGTGAGACCTTTTTATGCTTTTAGAGGTTGTGAACCATTTGAAGGGGAATTTGGGTCCTTCAACATCGTCTCCTGGAGTTGAACAGTCACTTGTTGAACTCGGGCGGGTCTGGCAGGCACCACTCTATGAGATTACTCATAATACATTTCAGATTTCAAATGGATAAGAAGCAAAAGTGTCCACTAGAAAGGCCATCCTTTAGAATGTTCCTTGTTGGTGATGACTTCTCTCAGCATCTGGTAACATCTTCACCTCTTTTCTGGTTTCCTTTTGTGTACGCCCTTGTGTTAATTTCATAGCCTGAAAATGTCCAAGCTTTTTTTTCTTGCTTTCTTTTTGGCTTTTTCTAAAAGCTATAAACTTTTGCAGCGTATACCACCTGCATTTATCAAGAACTTCAATGGACGAAGACTTGGCAAATGTACTATGAGAGGCCCCACTGGAAAATGTTGGGCCGTGGAACTGGAACAGAGACGGGATGGCTTGTTCTTCATATGATATGGAGACGAAAAAAACCCTTAAGCCCACTTCATATTTTGTTTTGCTTCGTCTCCAATTGTCCAACTCCATATGATATGGAGAAGAAAAAAAACATCCATATTTATATATTCTTATTATTGTAAAATATAAATAAAAGGGCAGCTAAGAAAACGACCCAATAGAACCATATTTCAGGAAGATAATTAAAAGTTGACGTGGGCAGCTTGAGTTGCAGGGGACTGGAAGGTACCGTACTGATACAGTAAGTTGTCATGTCCTTTGGTCTGAGCATGTAAGTGTTACGTGAGAGCCAAGAGACGCCCAGAGGATAAAACAAAACCACGTTATGAGAATGGCAAAAAACTGATGGATTTTCCGTGTCTCGTCCTTTCGGTTAAGTCATTTGTTATCTCGTTTCAACTCAATTGTCGTGACATTTCTTGACTCCATTATTTAAAGTCCATGCTCTTTATCATTCTCAAATTGACTCCCTACTCTGTTGTCTTAGGTGCCTCTATTATTCAATACTGTGAACAACTTGCATTCCCTGTGTTTAACAACAACTTAGTCGTTAATGAGGCCGGGGAAGATCTGAAGGCTGAACTTTGGAATTGTCGGTATATATCTTACCTCCACAGAGTGCCTTCTACATGGTATGCGTATCCCGACTTACCGACTATTTTTCTTTTTAAATACAGAGATAAACAACGCAAGCTAGCTAGTTTACTATGTTTCTTATACGATTTGTTTTCTATCATGTGGAAGTCTGATCTGGGGAAGATTTACAATCTAATTCCTGGTAATTCCTGCATTTCAAACCCATATTTATCTGCAGAATCTGTAAACAACTTAGTTCTGTAGGAGTAAACTGCCCAAACTAGATGCGTAATGGTGGAAATGTCGTCCACAGTATATCATGTTTTCTCCAAGGTTGTTGAAACCTCAAGTACATTCTTAACTTTCTTGTGTAGGTACTAGGTAGTATAGTAATATCCTAATCTCGATTCTCCAACGAGTTTCTTGTGTTTAAAATTCAACCCAGCCCTGGTTGCCCATTTGGCTTTCATTTTAACTCTAAGAATCATCTATCTCAAAGGCAACTTATAACACATTTCAGATTTCGGATGGATAAGAAGCAAAAGTGTCGACTAGAAATGCCATCCTTTAGAATGTTCCTTGTTGGTGATGACTTCTCTCAGCATCTGGTAACATCTTCACCTCTTTTCTGGTTTCCTTTTTGTGTACGCCCTTGTGTTAATTTCAGAACCTGAAAATGTAAAAGCCTTTTTTTCTTTCTTTCTTTTTGGCTTTTTCTAAAAGCTATAAACTTTTGCAGCGTATACCACCTGCATTTATCAAGAACTTCAATGGACGAAGACTTGGCAAATGTACTATGAGAGGCCCCACTGGAAAATGTTGGGCCGTGGAACTGGAACAGAGACGGGATGGCTTGTTCTTCCATAATGGTTGGCCTGGTTTTGTGAAGGATCATTTTTTAGAATCTGAGGACTTTCTGATCTTCAATTATGATGGTGGCTCAGAGTTTGATGTCACCATCTATGACAAAACTTGTTGCGAGAAGGATGTAAAAGCAGCAGCCAAGAGGCCTGCAAGTGATCATTTGGCAGAAACATCAACTGGGGGGCCCATCTTGTTCAGATCGGAGAATGCGTGTTTTACAAAAACTTTTAAGCCCCATAACCTATATAGTTTAGTGAGTCTTTTGGTCACTCAAAAATATATGAAGACCTTTTCTGATTAAGCATCTGATCAGTACATGTTTTTGTTTTCAGTTGATTCCAAAGTCTATAGCCGTAACTGAAGGACTTATGAGCTCTGAAGGCATTTTGATCAAAGAGACTATAGTGCTTCAAGATCGAACAGGGAGATCATGGCTTGTTCAACTTGATGTCACCTCTGATGGTCGTTTGGTGATGACAAGAGGATGGAAGACATGTCGAGCCACAAACCAGATTTCATTTGGGGACACCATCATTTTTGAGTTTGTGAAGCAAGGTGTGATACTACTTCATATTTTCAGAGTCAGAGGCGAAGGCAATAGCTCTTCTGTCGAGGTTCTTTCAGGCGTTCTGCCCCGGAAGTCCAGTAAAAACCTATAGCCAGTTAGTTAACTGCAAGTTTTCACATTGCAACATCTACAACTTGCCTATGTTGAGTTCAAGTGTTGCAGTCGGAATTGCTCCTCCTTCCGAAGAGAAGCGTTTTGCAGAGAATTCTCACTGTGATGAGAGCACTAGATAAAACGAATATGCTTGCTGAATCTTTGTTGTCCACTCATCTAGCTGTTCTATTAAAGTTGGTTGTATTTGTGATTAGTTCATAATATTGTTCCGAACTGTCAAACGGAGATATTTTCAGGGGAACATAAAACAAATGAGTTTCGTGAAATCTGAGCACGATGGAGATTATTTATCATGCAACTAATTTCAGGGCCATTGCTAATGGTCAACCATACAACAGTTTGCAATCTGTGGGATCATATTTCAACTTGCAAATACAGAAAACAAGGTCATGCTAGTCTTAAGAACAAGATTAGACAAATAAAATTCGGGTTTGGATGTGTGTTGCAAAATTCACAAAAGTTGAAATATGAGATATAAACCCACTTATCTCAACTTCCATTGAAACTCCAGACAAGTTCACCCATAGAAACTGATTTGATGTTATACTGAATACTCTCTCAGTTTGCAATGTGAGTAAGGGTCCGCTGATCAAAATTAGATATAAAAAAGAATCTCTACATATCAATGATCTAAAAAAATGAAACCACACGGTAACCATACGAAGGAGAATGGAGGATATTCTGATCCAAAAGACCTTTGCTGACTGATAGTCCAGTGTTGGGGCTTATGATTGGTTGCTTCAGGCAGAAGGTCTCTGACATGCGGCAAAGAGCTGCCAACTGATGAAGGCCATGACCAGAGAGGTAAAGAGTTGAAACCCTACAACCTCTGGAAAGTGCCAACCCAGGCCTCGCCTCAGATAGCTGCAAAAACAATAAATGAGTTAGACGGAAAGGGAAAAGTAAAAAGAGTGCACTCTAGTTGTTACATTTGACAATTGATGAACAAGACCAGCCCTAATTGTCAGAATTAGGATCAGAAGTTTTTGGGAGAGAGAATTTTGAGAGGCATGAGTACCCCAAGTATCCATGTGTCATAGCAATAGACTAAAGCACAGAATTTTTCAAGTAGTGGTAGAATTAAGGGAAGGAGTAGACCTTGTGATAGATGGCATGGTTGCCACGATCCCTGCACAGGTGTATATTATAGGAATCAGCGTCTTAGGCTTGTTTTTCCGCAGCCACATCAAAGAGCCCAATGCAGCAAGGGAGATGCTCAAGACCTGCATAAAGGGCGAGTGCTGTAAGTTAATAACATAGAAAGGCAAATCTACTCCAAAATTCAAATTAAAGAGAAAAAAGGGCAGAATTATGTTAGCCAAGTTTACATATCCATCGTCTGAGATATGATTAACACAAATTCATTATATGAACTTTCAGACTCAGAACGGAAATTTCAGCAATTTATATCCACAAACCTATGACTGCGGATGCAGGCTGACAGGGCAGCTAAGAAGACTACAATGCAAACAAGAAAGAAATGAGTGTATACCAGATTGGCATTTGCTTCAAGGCCTTGAAGAATGTAATCCCAGGTAAATTCTAGTCCTCTAGCACCCACCCACAGCGGTGCCAATCTATGGAGAACGGAATCAGCAAAAGCCCATCCTGCCAACAGGGAATAAGAGGTTCCTATTAAATACACTACACTATCATGGTAAAAGGTTCAAAATTAAACTAGAAATCAAGGGAAGGGAAACTGATATTTTTCGTTTTTGGTGGGCTTGATCATGTTTTACTCACCAAGTCCCACTGCTTGGAATTTATGATTTTGAGAGATATTCCTGTGGGTCAACTGAGTCAAAGCAAAGTAAAGGCCAGCAACGTCTATAAAACCAATCAGAGCTTTCAAAAATTCCTGAATATAAAGATATGCATTAATAAGTTGTTGGTTACACTCACAGTCAAAACCACAATCCACGAGAGAAAGAAAAGTAAATGTTTTCAATTCGAAACAAGCCAAATCAAGCGTGGCAAGTAGCATGGACTTATTGAATTGTGGAGATTTATATAAGGAAATATACATTTCAACTAAAATCAAAGACCCAAGTACCTGATATGGATCGAAGCTTTCATTGTCGGATACCTTCAGAAAAGTGGCCAGACAAACGAGCTGCAGAACATAGAATTAACAATGAAAAACAATTAGCAGCCATTGCTGGAAGTGTTAGGAAGCTTTGCCCCATTGGCACAAGATGAAAATTACTAGAACGTGATTTTATACGTATAGCTCCTTTGTTATTGACTATGAACACTAACGAACCTTCACTAAAGCTGTTCCCAGATAAACAAGAGCTGCTTTGACAGAGGTCCCAAGTGTATCGTACTCCGATCTGCACAAGTAAATCATGTAATTGATTAGGGTTTGATTTGGAAAAGAAGATGAACTGAATTGGATATGATTTATGAGAGCATAAGATCCGAATAGATATAGAAATAAGTAAAAGAGAAGAGTTAGTGGGGCATACAGGGGGGTGGCGGAGTAGTAGACGGCGTGAGGGCCAAACGTCAGAATCGCGCAGTTGAAGAAGTGAAACACCGTCATTTCTCCTCCTTTCTTTCTTTCTCCGTCTCAGACTTGGGACACTGCGATCTCCACTAGAGTTGGATGACGACTTGAGAGCCAGCCATCTATTCGGATCTAGGGTTCCCTCAACTTGACCCGGTTCCTTCTTATGGGCCTCGTTTACTAATAACACAACAAACTGGACCTATGTAGATGGCCTTAGCTATTATAAATGGTCCGAGGTCCAAACAAACAAAAATACAAGAATCAATGGTTGGTGGTTTTTATTGTATTTTTTTATTTTTATACAAACGATATTGGAGGAGATTATTCAAACACGCGACCTTGGGTACAGAGGTAAATCAAATGCTCTTAACCACTTACCTTTTCTTCTTTTTTGTTTGGTCAGAGCCAATAGTTGTTAATAATTTTCATTATCAAATATCAATAACAAAAGTTTAATTATGAATTTTAATTTTGTGACGAAAATGATTGTTATCAAATAACTACAAACAAACACAAGAAATTTCCCAGTGGAGTGGCTATTTGATTTGAGATCGAGTTTGATCTTTTTACCAGAAATTAAAGATTCCAGGACTGTCGTCTTACATGCCAAGGCCTCGACTGTTCACCACTTCTCCCTAAGCAACACATGGTCCACCATTATAAAGAAAACTCTAGGTCTAATGCCATGGCAGCTAAGCTACCTCCAGAATTAAAAAGAAAAATAAAGTACTTGCAGGCCACACTAGTTATTTGAAAGCTTGTATTTGTTTTCTCTGTGAAGTATACCATATGTTTGGTTTTATTATTCGTCTCTAATTGTGAAATGTTAATTTATTATGGCATTAATTGTAGGAATCATTGACTGTTCACATGGCATTTCTGGGTAGCTAGAGCACTGTTAGCCAATAAACATCAAGAATGATACCCTTTTATTTTTCTAGTCATCATCAGTGCAGATGCAGTGTGTGATTTATAATATTAAAATTGCTTATACTAACAATTAATTAATAACTAAAACATGATGAATATGATCAAGTGTTATCCCTTTCCCCTTGTGAAAAGGAAATGTGGATGTTGACATTTAAGGTTCATCGGCTTTTTCCTATATGCCATTGATGAGAAGCTTGACATTTGCCAGAATAAATGGGGCGTCCTAATTTCCCATACATCAGTCAGTGTGGGAAAAGAGTCAAAACAAGGAAATATATTGTTGGAACAAATACAAATATAAAATAAAATTGCACGAATTTAATTTTGTGTGTGGTGTGGTGTGGTCCACTACAGGGACAACTATGGGGAAAATGAGAGAGAGAGAGAGAGACAGTGTCACGGGAATTCTCAAAGGACTTTCCCAAGCAAACAACAAGTTTATTTAATTCAAAAAGAGAAAAGATAAGAGGTGGTGATGAAGATATAAGTGATTGGGATGGGTTTCCTTCCTATGATTCCTATATACAAATAAAAGTTCAGTGGGATGTCATCAAACCCTTCATAATTGAAAATGGGACTAAAACGAGAGCATCATCAGCTGCAGCAGAATCACAGGCTAACAGGCTCACAGCTTGGGAAATGGAAGAGAAAATGATTGCAACCCTAATTTTGGAATATTAATTTTCGCAAACTTAATTATAGTAAATTACAACTTTTAAGTGAAGAAAAAGTGTTTAGAGCTCGTAATTAAGTCATGCCAAAATAAACGAGTTTATTTAAAAACACGACATGATGGAGCATGAAAATGCTTTAAATACGTAGACTTGATTAAAAATTCATACCACTCGGGACACGATATATACAAAATAGGATATTATACCTAATTTAAATAGACATCCCAGTGGACCTCTAATTATTTATGGTGTGTGTGCATGGATTGATTAAAGAGGTTTAGGTACCATCGAGGATGAAGGTATTATCCCGCCAGTTTTAAATGATGAGAGAGAGGCCTCAAGTTTCAAGGTTTTTGCGTAGGCTCTGACCTCATTCCTTTTCTCCTTTTTTTTTTTTTTTTTTTCCCTCTCTCTCTCTCTCTCTCTCTAGGTAAATTGAGTTCACTTTCCCCTCTGTTTGAAGCTGGAAATGGAGGTGATGATATTGATTGAATGGTGTTGGACCAAAAATGATAAGAAGAATTCAAATCTAGTTTTCAAAACATGAACCTTTTTATGTTTGTGTTTGACTGCATGCATTATTGTTAGTTTGTCCACACATTATCTCATTATGAATGATGAATGAAGGAATTAGGGCACCCATATTCACACTCACATATTATATTATATATATGCATGCATGTTGATGTTGGCATCTTGGCATCTTCGTTTTATTCTTTATATGATGGTATGATGTAATGTCATGGGGCACGTCAGCCTAAACGGCGTTGATTTCGGTGATTCCTTCCTTTGTTTTTTGTCGTTTCATCGATACTCAAAGGAAGCGAAGGGGAAGGTGGTGAGGTGATGCTATTCAAATCTCAAAGCAACACATGCTTGTATGGCTGTATATCCTAATCTCACGAATCGCCATGAACAAACTAATATTCTTCTCTTCATTCATTCATTATACAAATGATTCATCCTGATGATTAGCAATGACAGTAATTAAATCACTGGTAATTAATATAAGTGCTAGCTGTTTCCTGTTTTTTCCTTTCTAGTATAACCACAACCACTTGGCTGGGCCTGGGGAGCTATTTTTCTAGCTAGCTCTTGCCTTGCAGTCAAAGAATGCCACATTAATAACCCTATTAAGTTTGGATCTGTTGCCTAAGTATGAAATTAAACTCCAATTTGGTTTAGTTAGTTAGGTGTCATTCATATAGTATTGGTCTACTGCACGTGCTATGGACGTGAAAGGAGCAGTAAAACAAACGCAACATATATATACATATTTTAGGAGACACATGCATAAATCTTGGTAAATTATAAACTAAACTCGTGTCAGTTCTTACTTGGGATGCACTAAACCGAGAATTAACCAAATACAAGAATAATTAAACGCCTCTCTAATTAATTAGGAAGCAATATTGCTTATAGTTTTATCTGTCACCTGTCTGAAGCAACTGGAAATTAGTAACCCATTAATGCAAAATGCAAGATATCTTGTAAAGGAAGGTATATATTATATTCTTTGAGGTAGGTGGCATATGAAAATGAAAATTTAACTGATGTGAATTGTTTTAACGTGGACCCAAATGGGGTCCTTGTCAGAAAAGGCATTAATTAATTAGAAAAATAAATAAATATGATCAGACAAACAAACGCATGGAATAATTATATGAGAATATGGCCCCAAGCAATTGAGGCCATAGAGAGACATGTTGACCGGATAATTTACCCTGCTGCAAATGCAACCTTAATTATTATTATTATTATTATTATTATTATTCAAATAAATCCAACAAGATGAGGATTTGAGCATTTGAGCATTTGAGCATTTGAGGGAGAGAATATATGATCAGGAAGGAAGGAAGGAAAGAGTATTATTATATTAATTGGTAATTTATAATATATTTAAAGTAATGCAAAATTTGCATTTCCCGGAGAATCTAGAGCGCATCAGGCGCTGACCATGGCTTGGCAAAATTATTAACAAATGATTAACGTTTTCTAGTCATCTTGTTGTTTCTGTAATCACCCCATTATTAAACAAATCATATTAATTATAAAGGAGAGAAAAGTCATGGGGGTTTGAGTTTGTGAGCTTCATTTTATTAATATTAATATGATTTGTGTGAGGAGGAGCATAAAAAGACCAATACAAGAGAACAAAGAAAGAGCCTCTTGCCTAGACAAGGTCACGTCCATATGTCACGTGACAGGAGCCCATGTTGACGCCGAGGAATATGGTCCTCCCTCCCTCCTCCTCCTAACTTGTCCTAATTCTCAGACTCAGTTTCATTTTTATTTTATTTTATTCAGTTTTGTGGGTTTCTATGCACGCGCGGGTGGGGCTCGACAGATGGGTTTTGGCCAAGGAATACTTGGACACGGAGAGGGAATATTGGGGGCGATCGAAGACTCTGGATCGGACAAATACTAGCCGATCAAATTTCCGAACTTCATCGGCTTCTACTTCATCCAACGCGCTCTCTTTTCCCACGCACTGTTCCTTTTCCATCGTTTCTATAAGATTAAAATAAAAAAGCGCGTATATATGAGTTATGTCAGTTGATCAAGATAATACACTGGTCAAGTTCTATTACATTTTTCATTCCACATTGTGAAGAAAATAAGGATGAGAGCGCGTGGGATGAAGAATGTTTGAAAAACTTGAATGGTAAGGGAGAGAGAGAGAGAGTTGCATGTGGCTCTGCGACCCTCGTGTCGCCGGACACCCCAGCCATTCTGACACTTCCTCTCTCTCTAGCTATATATATATATATACTCTTACTTAATTCTATTAATTCATATTTATTCCCTCTCTTCATGATCTTCTTATTTATAACCAAAGACTGATATGTATTATATATTCTAATGCTATGGCTATAGCTAAAATACTTGTGTGCTTGGGGTTCGCACGTGTACAGCTCGACTATGATTGACAAACCGGTATTGCCCACTTGGACCAGTGACTATATATGAGAGACAACATTGCAGGGGATGCAGCACTAGATCAGCTGGCAATTAATGTAGTCGGTTTTATTAACTACTTAACTAAGTTAGGGTTGGAACCTAAGTTCGATTTGATTAACTACTTAACTAAGTTAGGGTTGGAACCTAAGTATGATCTATCCTAATTTAATTATGCAACGGGTGCTAGAGGTGGTATTAATTCTGAATAAAACAAAATGTAAGGTAAATGAGTTTCTTAAAAGTATACATGTCCATGTCATCGTGTTTAAAGGATGTTTGGTTTATTTTGAGTTGAAATGCATCTATTTATGCGTATGATTTTGATTTTAATTTTTTAATTTTAAACTCTTAAAATTCCGAGAACTAAGATATAAACTCGTAAAACATTAATCGTATGCCTCGAAACTTGGTCATGAACCAATATAGTTGTATTAGGTATAACCAATATACTTAGTCTTTGAGTTTGTATGCATGGTATTGAATTATTAAGTTTTGGTAATTATGTTAGTTGCATATGATGTTAAGTTCTCATATTAAAAGAAACTTAAGAT